GATATATATCTATTAGAGAAATAATTATCAACAATACGACAGGATGGAAGTGAAAAGAAATTGTGATTTCCAGTAAAACTCACAGGTCTGAGGGATGAAATTTGACTGAATGGCTCACACCTGCAACACTTGCTATCAAGTTTCCGTGTGACAAAACAACTCCCTTTCCAAAGACAGAAGAGGAGCAATGTCTCAATAACCAACCATTTTATGTAAAATACTTTTAAGTGTACATCAAAAACTGAAATTCATAAGTGCTACCTTAGGTGTCCCGGTAGTGCCACTTGTATAGCATATAGTGGCCACATCCTCAGGCTTTGGAGGGCAAAATGGATGGATATTACTTTGGCCCTGTAAGGGAAACACAATTTTAGCAGATTAAAATTTTATTCATTCAGTAATCAGTCAGAAAACAGAAACATCTATGATAGGAAACAATAAACCGCCATGGTGCCACTGCCAATCACCAAATTTAGACCCATAAATAGTATGATTCTATTTCATTCTCCAATTATGGACAAAAAATAGTAGTAGTCAACTGGAGAACTACACCAGAATAAAAGATTCACATATCCAACTACTAACATAGACATCAACAACAATGTCAAGAAGCATCGATAAACAATATAATATCAGAAATAAAGAACATCCATGAGATAAATCCATCAACTGTTTTAGGTATAACATCTTTTGCATATTAGAACGTTACAGGTTGAGAACTCTAATATTCACATTTCAGCGAGTTAATTTGATGGTAAAGTCTTTTCTTATTGCGTAAATGCATCTTCAGAGAAGTAGAACTACAAGTTTGACTGTTTGAGTTTTTCTTTTTACATCTAAGAGAAGTTTATAAATCAATTCTTAAGAGACCAAGTTCTTGTAGACGAAATCTAAGTAACATAGCACAAGTTAAAGACCTTCAATAATGTTACAGATATCAAGTTTGATGTACGGAAACAAAAATGAAAACATCTGCAGACAGACAGTTTTTTCTCAAACTAGATAGTAACGTTTTCCCTATTTTACTCTTGCACTGTGCAAGTTGTCCAATATCAAGTAAAAAATATGTAATTGCCTATCCAAATGAAACAACTATCTTGGAACATGCAGTTAATTTAGACATCAAAGCACAGATTTAGAAAAAGCTTCTCTAAGTTCCATAAATGAATTGCAATCTCTCCTAATTTTCCTACTTTTTCCCTTTTTCTTAGTTCAGCTATACTCTAATCTTGAAGGACATGCTTCAATAAAAATGTCGACTAACTCTCCATGTTTTTGAAAACAGAACTGCAAATTTTGTACAAAATATAATGGTGCAAAAGC